TAGTTGAGGAGTGTCTAGAACTGTACTGTCCAATAAGAAAGCCATTAGCCACATAAATTTATTATTTATTTATCCATTTATTGTGGTTCCAGGGGTAGAACACGTTTTCCTGGGTCACTTCTGGAGGTGCTCATGGGGCCATGCAGTGCCAAGAATAGAATAAGAGTCTTCTTCATGCACAGCAGGCACACAGCTTGAGCTGTCTCTCTAACAATGAAGAGTTCATAGATCATTTTAACCCATATTATATAAAAAAGCAGAGTTGCTACACACTTCCCAGTATTATTGAAATCACTCAGAATAAGAATTCTGCATTCCAGTCTGTAAGACATTTTTTCTCATTCAGCTACTTCCTAAGTTATAGACCAGAAACAAGGTGAAGAAAGCTTCTTGTTCTGAAAAAGAGAAAAGAGGAAGACATCTGTGTTCACATATACAAACCTATGAATTAGTTTCTTTGCTTCAAAAACAGTAACAACAAGTCTCACAATGGAAACATTACTTGGTGCCTGCTGGAGCAAATTGATGAACAACTGGAGGACAGTGATACAGCATTACTTCTATAATACAAGGCACTCCCAAAGAGCTAACTGCCACCTTTGTCTGGACACATTTACTCCGTAACAATGTGTCTTTCTTATTGGGAGTCTACATTACAATGTGCAAACATACAAATCAATTAGCAGTAAGAGGTGGAGGGTGGGGTGAGGCCACTTTACTTCTACAGGCTGGCTTGACACAACAGCACTGGGAGGTCCCAAGACCTTGATTGCAGCCCACTTTCAGACAAGCAGGCACCTCTTGTCCGGAGTGAAGGCCTTTGGTGGTTCTCACTGGAGGAGGCTTCAGGGTCACAGGACAAGTTCAGAAGTCATCTCAAACCTGACCTGATTAGATGCTCCACGCTTTTATGCCTTACTTGACAGGTGTGCAATTAGAACCACCTGTTAATTTTTTTCGGGGGTGGGGGTGTTCACTTGTCTGTGCTTGGGAGATACTCCTGAATTATTGTGTAAGGGTACCAGAAGTACTCTTGGTAGTATTTGGAGCTGGGGATTGAATTTGTGGCTCTCACATATAAAGTATGAGATCTAGATCTTTGAGTTACCTCCCCAACCCCCCATTTGTTAATTTTAATTTGGGTGGGGCCACTCACACAGCCAATTTTTTATCTGTTCTTGCAGGTTCATATGTTTGCTTATACTGATAACATTAAGTAACTCTCTCCATTTTCCCTACGACTTCTGCATTAATGGTGTGCCATTACACTCAAGAACCTCTATCTTTTCATCAACCAGTCATTGCAATGTGCATCACAATACATAAAATACATATAATAGCTTGATTTTGGATCATTACAGTATCAGTACATATAAAAATTTCCCTCTTTGGGGCTGGAGAGATAGTGCAGCAGGGAGGGCATTTGCCTTGCATGAGGCTGATCCACGTTCAATCCCCAGCATCTCATATGGTCCCCTGAGCAACATTGTGAGTATTTTCCCAAGTGCAGAGCCAGGAGTTAACCCTGAGCATCACTGGCTGTAGCACAGAAGCAAACAAACAAAATTCCCTTCTTTAAGAATTAGAAAAATAGAGAACTATGCTCCCAGTATCTATTATGTTGTACAAATAAAAATAACTTAAATCATATTTACTTAAATCCTTATTATAACCAGAGAGGTAAGCATACATTTTCAGTATTACAAAGCTTAAAACTTTATACATCAGGTCAGTAAGATTACTGAAACAGTGATTTTTTTTTGAGACAGTGATTCTTAAAAAGTTCTATCTAGACTCTATTAGAAAATTGGCTAGAAAATGGAAATGTGATGTTCAACAGACTACCAAGAACTAATTCATTTACTGATGCCAAACTTAAAAAATAAAACCAAACAAAATCAATTTTAGTTAAATGTTAAACAAAAGTATTTTAAGAAACCCTAACATTATTATCATTGAAGAGGAGGACTGGGTGGCTGAGGAGAGATGTTGGGGGGGAGGTTTCACACTAACCCTGTTACTTTTGAATTTTAACCGTTCTATTACTTATTCTAACCCAGATATAAAGGAATTTTTAAAAAGTTAAATGACTCAGTTCTTACCAATAATTTAAAGTTACCAGTCTTCTACAATACATGAAACTCCAGAAAAAAATGAATTTTTAGAAAAGCAAGATTTTAATTATGTTCTGAAATAGCAAGGGAGAAATTATGTTAAAGGAAAGACAAGGATTTGGATGTTGGAGAGGAACGAAGCTAACTGCCTGCAACCACTATTTGATCGATTCAGTTCTACTGCTAGTATTTTTAGCACATCTTTTTTTAGCCTAAGTTGCTAAGGAACCCTATTGTTTGAAAGCAATCTACTAATAGGAACCTACATCAGACAAGAGAGAAGAAATGATCCTGAAACAATGAAATCAGGTCATTCCAGTTTAGTTTCTTTTGGTGCCACTTAATAAATAATATCTTTTCTATCTTGTAGCCCTTATGTGATAGTGAGAATTCTCATGAAAAAGAAAATACTGGGCTAGGAGAGAGAGCAAAGCAGGTAAGGTGTTTTTCTTACATGTGGTCAACCTATAGGTCCTACAGTCAGCTAGGTGAGATCTGAGCACAGAACAGGAATAAGTCCTGAGCACCACTGGGAATGGCTTAAAAGAAAACAAACAATCAAAGCCCATTAAAAAAAAAAAAAGACAAGCAATTATTTGTACATTTCTAACATGAAGGTCTGCAGATCAATATACCTGAAAGGGGGGGGGGTAATAGTTCTGAATTCTGATTCTGTTAATATTTGTCTTTTTATCTTGAAAATATTCTTAATTTCATGTGCCTTTCAAGTTAATTTTTTGCATTTTAAGAGGTCTGGTGCACCAGCACTCATCAAAAAGAACAACCACCAATTTTAGCGTGAATTTGTGTGTGGGGGGTGACTTGGGGGAAGAAATCCTCATTCACAGCTGATGGAATTGTTGACTGGTCCAGTCTTTTTGGAAGACGATATGGACATTCCTCAAGAACCTTGGAATGGGGTGGGGGTGGGGGGAACAAAAACAGAACTAGATATTGAACTTCCATGTGACCCAGCAATTCCACATTTGGGAATCTAACCCAAGGACCCAAAATCACAATGCAAAAAGCAAAGTAAAAGTAAAGGCCCTCCCGTTGATCATCGATTTGCTCGAGCAGGCCCAGTAACGTCTCCATTGGAGACTTTGTTGTTACTGTGTTTGGCATATCGAATATGACACAGGGAGCTTACCAGGCTCTGCTGTGCGGGCGAGATACTCTTGGTAGCTTGCTGGGCTCTCAGAGAGTGGCGGAGGAATCGAACTCGGGTTGGCCATGTTGGCTGCGTGCAAGGCAAACGCCCTACCCGCTGTGCTATCGCTCCAGCCCCAGTCACAATGCAAAAACAAACAAATAAACAAAGAATGCTGAAAAGACCTCTGCACTCCTACTTTCACTGAAGCACTATCCACAATACCCAGAATCTGGAAACAGCCCAAGTGCCCAAGAACAGATGATTGGATAAAGAAACTATGGTGCATACACATATGGATGGATCTGGAGCCTGAAGGAGATGGGCTGACACTCTATGATCTCGTTCATATGCTGAATACAAAGAAACATAGTAAGGGAATAGTTGATGCCCAGATACAATAGAAACAAAGAACAAGATAACTGGTCCTTAGTAGGTGTGGGGGTGGGTGGGTGAGCTATTAGAGGGGGGACTAGTCATGAAAGGGGCCACTACAACTATAGAGGAAAAGTGGACATTCTGGACAAGGGCTGGGAGGTAAAGTTAAATACCTGACGCCCTATAAGCAATGTTATTGTTAAACACAGTGCCTAAAAAGAAGAAAAACAATACCTTCCATAGAGGCAGGCTATGAAAAACTGGGGACATTGGTGGAGGGGAATGAACACTGTTACTGCAGGAACTGGTGCTTGAAAATTGAACAACTGAAACTCGATCATGAATAACCTGGTAATTCAGCGATTCAATTAGGAAAAAAAAAAGTTGGTGGAGAGCAAAAGGAGGTGAGACTTGAGCAAGTTATTGAAGATATGAAACCTATACATTGGAATTTCTATTTGGGGTAGTGCAAAACAGTCATGCTAGTGGGAGAGTGGGTGGATCACAGAGCAGGGCAGTGTCTGGGAGCCCCAGAGAGAGCCAAGTGGGTTGGGGCGTGGCAGGGCTGGGGGGAAGATAAGGAGGTCGCCAAGACGTAAATACATAAAACAAAGCTGTAAGCTGATGGGAACTCTGGAGTTTCGTATTCCTACCAGCTCAATTCAAGACTCGCTGAACAATCAGCTTCCCTAACTAGAGCAGATGGTGAGCCCTGGGACCCAGTTCTAGCCTGGAGAATCAGAAGCCTCAATATTCCTGTCTTCCACTTAGACTGATTTCTGTTGTCTGCCTTTAACCACAATGAACCCAAATTCGTCCCACAGGAAATCTGGCCAAGGTGGAGATAGGAAAATCAGAGACACCCAATTGATCTCTTTAGCTGGGAGCTCTTCCCTGATACACCTTGACTAGTCCTCCCAAGCCCAGGGTTTCCGGGAGCACGCGGGGCCCACAACCAAAGAAGCTAATAGCCACCGGGCTTTTAAGCAGCGACAACGTGGCGGTAACTAGTTTACGAGAGGCCAGGATCCCGCCAATGAATGCGAGTGTTTGGGACTACGCCCCGCCCACCACCGCCGCCAGCCAATAACCTTCACTACTCCTCGGCCACTCCCTTCCATTCTTAAGACCGCTCGGGTCGCTTCCTCTAGGAGCATCCTAGCGGCTTAAACCCGTAAGACACCGCTGCTCCCCGATCCGCTCTACCGGAGGCCACTCTGCCTTTTTTTTCCTAGAAGGCAGAAGACACGACCTCGGCTACCACCGCAAGCTTAAGACCCCGCTCTCACCCACGAGAAGTTAGTTTAAAAAAAAAAAAACCAGCGGGCGAAAGAAAAAAAAGAGAAAGGACTCTCCCAGACGCCCACCTCCCGCCCACGTTCTTTGACCCGGAAGTGGTTGTCCGCTTCCTCCTTTCCCTCAGCGGTTGGGAAGGCGGAGAAGGACGGCCCGGTCTGGCCCAGCATGCCCTGGGCTTCCGGTGACCTCTGGCCCTTTTCTGTCGTCCGCTTTCGCTGCCTGGCGTGCTCGCTCCCTCGCTCGCAGCCTCCTCTCCTCGCCTTCCTCCCGTCCTCCCTTCCTCCCTCCCGTCTTCCTTCCTCACGCGGCCCGGTGACTGTGGCGACCCTCGGAGAGGCGGCGGCGGCGGAGGACGCTCGTCATGGCCGCCTCTAAACCCATGGAGGCGGCGGTGGTGGCGGCGGCCGTGGCGGCGCCGGGGTCGGCGGGGAGCGGGGTGGGCGGCGGCAGCGCGACGGCGGCGGGCCCGAGCGCGGGGGGCCTGCCGCGATGGCAGCTGGCGCTGGCGGTCGGGGCGCCCCTGCTGCTGGGCGCCGGGGCCATGTACCTGTGGAGCCGGCCGCGGCGGCGCCGGGAGGCGGGGGGCCGCGGCGACTGCGGCAGCCTGAAGCGCAACAGCGAGCGGAAGACCCCGGAGGGCCGAGCCAGCCCGGCGCCGGGCAGCGGACACCCCGAAGGCCCCGGTGCGCACCTGGAAATGGTGAGCGGCAGCCCCGGGCCGTGCCGGGGGCAGGGGACTCCCCATCGGACGGCGGGCGCCGAGCGGCGGCGGCACATGGCCGTAGGGAGGGAGACTTCGGAGGTGGCCGCCCCGGGTCGCCACTTCGCGACGTTCTTTGACAGTTTCCCCCTGTTTTCAGAGAAAGCTTTGCATCTCCGTGACACAGCAGTTAATCCTTGGCGTTTGTGGGGACGCGGGGTGATGCTGCACCGCGCGCATGTGTGTGCCTGTGTGTATGTGTGGTGACGGGAGCGTCATTTGTCAATTGCATCGTTGTGTTTAATTGAAGGAAGCTACATTCCAGCAATGAGGAGGCTGCAATAACGGGAATTGCCTTGATCTTTTCAAGGCCTCCACCGTCACCAGCGATAGCTTGGAATAACGTGCCACTCCCCTTGGCTGACGATTTTTTTTTGGGGGGGGGGCAGGGGAGGCAAAATAGAGTGCCCCTCGGTTGATTGATGAAATAGTGTTCATTGATGTGATATTTCCCCCCTTCGTTCCCTCTCCCCTCGCCTCCAGTCTTTGGGAGCATTTAAATGTTTTTGTTTGTTTGTTTGTTTCCCCTCCAAATCTGACTTGGAAATGTTGCTCGTCCTGGTCTGACATCAGTAATGGGGATTCTTCGACGTCTGGTCGGATTTAGTGTATTGATTGGATCTGATCGTGCGCTGCTTGTTAAATTCTTGGGGTGCCTGGCAGCAATGTAGAGCTTGTTGGCCAGGCAGCGTTCAGCAATGCCACGATGGAGTGAGGTGGAGGATTTTATATGCTTTTTGTCATTGTGCACTGGTAATTCTAGAGGAAGTCTAGATTCGAAAAACCTTTTTTGTCTTATACCTCCCAGTTACATTCCTTGGGCAGTTCTTTCTCAGTTAAGGATACTCAGATCGAAGGCAGTGTTCTCGAGTGCAGTTTGGGTGTGCAAATGAATTAATCTAGATTAATGCATACAGTATGTCAAGCCTTCCGCCTAAGCCAGGAGAGAGCCAGATAGCTTTTCTAATGGGTGAGTATTGTCTTTTTAATTTTCAGTTCAGAAAAGATATGTTATAGTGAGACATCCTGGTTTATATTGGGCCCTGCAGCATAGCTATCTTGGAAAAGCCTTTGTATCCCTAACCTTAGCATCATCCCAGTAGAACAAGTATACTAAAATACTAGATCTCATATTTCTTAAAACTCTGAAAATCGGTGTTTCAGAGAGCCACTAATGATAGTGGCAATCAGAGCTATTTGATTAGTCATCGCTTAACTTATGTCATTTTCATATATCTGAATTCCTTATTTTCTTTGTTGATCACAAAAAATAGATTAATTAAAAAAATAGCTCTCGATTGTAGTTTGCATGTATAATCTTTGTTATTACTATAATCACCAGAGCTACTGATAGTTTCTGTAAATGAAACTAAGCTTTGACATTTCAGTGCAGCTTCAAATGCTATCCTTCTCACCCATTTGCAACTCGATGGGACTTTTATGTGTTAGGGTTCTTAAATCCCTTTTTCAGTTTTCCAGCATGATGTTTGTCAACACTGATTTTTCTTAATTTCATAGTGTTTTGTAGTTTTATTAGAACAGTGTTTCATTCATGGCATGAACTTCCAAGATTAAATTATTTAGGTAATTTGAACAGTTATTTTTGATCCAAAATAGAATTTAGGAAAGCACTTGCATACACTGTTACTTGCCTTGTAGAATTTGTATTTTAACTGATAGGGTGAGGTTTTTTTGTTCTCTCTGATAATCTAATAACTCTTAAGGATAGAGGTAAGTGTAACTGACCACTAATTGCAGCTTGCTTTTTATCCAGTTGGAGAAATTGTCTATATTTTGAATAGCACCTTTAAATTGGAGAACTCAGTAGATTTTATAATTGAGGTTAATTTGTTTTAGTGGATAGAAAACTAGCAGAATCCTGAGGTTCAGGTTCTTTTTCCACCTGAGCAGTAACTAATTTTTAAGGGAATGAGAGGATGGACAAATACTGTTGATTCAGAATAAGCAAACTAAATGAAAAGCAAGTTCTTTTTTTGTCTGTTAGCTTGTTTGTTTTAATGTAAAAATGAACTAATATATTGGGTGTTTGAAATTTATGTACTGTGCAGACTGCATTTGGTTACCTTTTTTGTTGGGATAGCAAACATTTATAAAATGAGCAAAACTTGAAATTTTGTTTAATGCAAATTTTATAATTTCCCTAAAGAAAGGCATCTAGTTGCAGTTGATAGTATTAGAGATTAAATCCTGTTCCATTTGTGCCATTATAAAATCATATATCTACCATGTTAGATCATTTTGTTTCAGTAAATTTATTGTTCTTTTATTCTCTTTCTCTCTCTTTCTCTCTGTCTCTGTTTTCCGCCTTCTCCTCTCCCTCTCTCCCTCATTGATCCCAGTTCAGTAAATTTAAACTTGGAAGAGTTGATTTTCAAAGTAACAGTTGATTGAAGATTCCATCAATTTTATCTACCTGTAGGACTTCTGTTTCTGCTCTGAATTGTCTATCTTGAGGCTACCACATTCAGCAGCATTGATGTCTTGTTTACACAAATGTAGATACTGATTGGTCTTTAAAAAAAAAACAAACCAGCTTGTTATTTTAGGAGGAATCTGGGCCGCCTTGCTCAAGGCAAACGCTCAAGGCAAACACCCTTCTGCTGTGCTATCGCTAGCTACCCGCAAGCTACCCGCCTGCACAGCAAAGCCTAGCTACCTGCAAGCTACCCGCCTGCACAGCAAAGCCTGGCAAAACTACCTGTGACGTATTAGATATGCCAACACAGTAACAAGAAGTCTCACAATGGAAGACAGTACTGGGCCCGCTTGAGCAAATAGAAGAACAATGGGAGGACAGTGCTAGTTATTTTAGGACTGGAGAGAAGGCTCTTGAGTTTTGTGCACCCATCCTAAGTTAGATCCCCAGCATCCTAGGTGGTCCGCTGATCACACCAGGAGTAATTCCCTGAGTGCAGAGCCAGAAGTAACCCCTGAACACTGCCAGGTGTGACCCTAAAACTAAGGGGGGAAAAGTAGTTTTGGGCTGAGAGATAATACAGGAGGTTAAGGAGCTTGCCTTGCATGTGGGCAACCCTGGTATGAACCCCGGCATCATATATGTGCCCCCTCTTTGGATTTTTTTTTTAACCCTCTGACTAAACAATGGAAATGGGGAAGTGTACCTAAACCTTTTATAAAGGGATCAAAGATTGTGTTACTTGCTGTTGTCAGCTTATGCTTAAAAAGAAGTAACTTTATTCTCTTAAATGATCTGTTTCTGCTATTTTTCAAAAAACAGAGTTGGGGTCAGAATGTGGCTTTAAAGAAGTGATGTTTGCATGTGGGAGTCCCAGGTTGAATCCCAGCACCTCTTGTCTCCTGAGCACTATCAGGATCAGCGTCTCTAAAAGTAGATTCCCTAGCACTGCCAGGTTTGCCCCGGTCACAATAATTATAATCACCGATGACATTAAATGTTCTGTAAATAACCTTTAGAATTCTCTTTATGCTTGACATTTTGTATTGTCTCAAAATTACACTTTTTGTGTCGTTTTCAGATACCATATTCTGGGGGTGGTAGGGCAGTTTGCCTTGCATGCTGCTGTCCTGGATTCGATTCCTGGCTTCCCATATGGTACCCTGAGCATTGCCGGGTGTGACCCAAAAAAGCCTGAAGAACAAAAAAAATAAGATATCCGTGCTAAACTTCTTAATATCTTCCCTTGCTGATTCATTCAGGCCCTTTTCTCTGCCTCTTCCTTTTAATGACCTTCAAGCATTCTTACATTCCATAACATTACTGGAGTCTTGCTTTTCCTGAGGAAGTTGTACTTTATGCTTACATAGTAATGATTATTCTCAAAATTCATATCTTTAGCCAGATCTCTCAAGAAGCCCAGATTTAAAGGAAATCTTTGCTTTATTGCTCCCATGTATTTTACACCCAGATTCCTCCATCCTGAGAATAACCTTGTCAATTAATGTGCATTCACATAAGTTTTCCAAACCAGAAATTTTGATGTCACCCCTAACTTTTTGCTCCAGTTTGGGGGGGAGGGGAGCCAGAAAATCCTGTATTTTAAATATCTGAGTACTGTATTATATTATTTCATGATTAAATAACTGCTGCTCTTTTCCCCCTCAATCTATTATTTTTGTAAATTGTTTTTGATCCACACCCAGTGATGCTCAAGGGTTACTCCTGGCTCTGTACTGCTGGCGAGTTCGGGGGACCATATGAGATGCCAGGGATTGAATCCAGGTCAGTCTTACCTGCAGTCCTTTTTCTCCGGCCCCTCTTTACTACTAGTTTCACACCTTTAGATGTTCTGTAAACACTGCCCAGTACACGTAACATTTCATCCTTCTCTATATCCGTTATTTCAATCTTGAAATCCTACCAAAGCGTCTCACTCTACTTTTACATGAAATGGAACTTTTTATTCTGTAGCATTTGCACTTGGTACTAGCGTGCCTGTTGTCTACCCTATTGTCCTTAAATTTGTGAAAGCTGAACTATCTGTCTTGTATTCCCAGTTTAACCAGTGAAGTATCATTCTTGGATAACTGTTGTTTAATAACATTGCATTATAACATTTTATAAATCATTGAAAATGTGTTTATTAAGTCCATCTCTAAAAGTCCAATTCCAAGGGCTGGAGTGGTACTACAGGAACTAAGGCATTTGCCTTGCATGCAAGTCAATCCCAGTTTGAATCCTTGGCACCATATGATTTTCTGAGCATGGAGCCAGGAGGAGCTCCTGAGCATTGCCCAAAGACCTAAATGATAAAATAGAAGTCCAATATTTTTTTTGTTTGGGAGCCACACCCAGCATTGTTCAGGGCTTTTTTGTGACTGAGCTAAGAGATCAACTCCTCCAGGATTCCTCAAGGGGCTTGGGACCATCTGGGGGTACTGGGGATAAGGACTTTATTCCAAATTTTCTTCCTGATTTGATTCCTAGAAAAGTAACAGTT